CACACACACACACACACACACACACACACACACACACACACACACACGATGTTCCGATAAGATTTTATTTCTTCCCGATTCCGAATAGTTATCGTGCCGATCCAAAAGTTAAATGGGTAATACTTCCCTCTCTAATATCTAATTTCATATCGCCTCATGATAGTGTTATAATTCACTTTTGCGCAATACTTATTTTGACTGAATAGAGCTATTATAATGTAACTCGGTGCAACCTCCATTAAGGTTAGCCGTTAGCTCCCTTCTGTAGCCGAGCAGCACTGTGCTGCCCACCGACTGCTAACAGCCAACGTTAACTAGTTCTCCTCCTGGTTTCAACGATAATTAGTTGTTCACAAGAGTGTTTTAACAACAAGTAGTGTGCACATGTGCAGTGCTGATCCGGTAGCAGGTGACACGTGTGGTTGTTCCTGCGTAGCCTAAATGAGCTGATAAATGATACGATGATGAGATCCAGCATCTTAAGCTATATTGGAAGCATTTGTGATACTGGTCTATTAGTGCGTCTTCAGTTGTCCAGCTGAGATCCATAATCTAGTGAAGGCACATGGTATTCTTTCAGTAGGAGAGTATACAGTAGATGATCACATTACTAACATGAGTTTGGGAATTTAAATCCAGATCATAAGGTAAAGCCACTTTGGGGGAAACACAGCCGATGTCCAGAGAAACAGAAGCATCAGAAAGCATTTCTTGTCGTCAGAGCTCCCATTATGATCCTAATCTGTTGACATTTCCCTTACATAGTTCTGGTTTCCAGAACTATGTAAAAGAGAGCAATCTGATTTCCAATGAGGAGACGCATAAAGCATCTCCATCTAATAAATGCAGGGGAAACATTCCAGTATGTTCCTGTGATTTGACCCATTTTTGGACACTAGATGATATCACCTACATTCCCGAAGAAAAATGACCCATGTCATAACGACTGATGGAAACCCTGTTTTTTCTGTTGTTGCACTGAAGTGTTGATGCGAGTCTGAAAAAGCGTGAAAAGCTCACCTTCTGCGCGCCAGAGAAGGCGTGATAGAAGCAGGACACATAGGTCATTATGGCCTTCTCATCCGGCCTCAGCGTACCCACGATGTCTACGCATCACCCAGCAGGACAGAGAGAGGTTGGCGAAGGAAAGTAAACAGAGAGAGAGTGAAGCCAAAGCTATATTGTCCTTGCGCAAGGGTTAGGAAGAGATAGTGGCTCCCTCTTTAGGTCCACAGCTTCAGGTTCATCCTATTACCACCACCAGCATCCTCCCCCCACACTGACAGCAGGAGGAGGGACTTCAGCAGGAGGACGCATGTCCTCTTGAAGTGAGCTGAAGGACACTGGAGCCACAAGGTTCAAGGCCGGGACACAAACACACACATCGTCTGCTAAATGAAGCTCTTTAAATCTGAGGCGAATTTACTCAAAGCAGATCATTCAAAGTGTGAAGGTTCATTCAGTGGGTGGGAATGATGCCATTACATGATCAGGATAATAATAATATTATATGCTCCAAGGTCTGAAACTACAAGTCGATACAGAACTATGAAACGCAACGCATTTTTTTTGTCGCGCAATTAACACACACGTTAATTCACTTTTTTCTAACAGTTTTTGTCGTGAGTACTTTCATATTATGTGGCAAAAAAGCGACACGTTTTTTTTCCGGAACAAGGTGGATTTTTCAACAGTTTTGCAGCGTTAATAAAGGCATTTTGCATTTTCTTGTGGTTAATTCGTCACGCCCCCACCGTGTGTAAAGCGATTCTTTCGGTTAAAACAGCTCATTTGGAGAAAAGAAAAAAAAAGTTTGCGGTTTTAGGAACTTGGGCATCCTTCAATATTTGACATTTTACAAACCAATACTAAACCACAGCATAACAAAACAAATACAATCATTAATTTCAGCTCTAGGTTTGAAGTTTAGAAATCTTATAAATCTGCAGATTTGATTCAGCCGATTCCTCATTTGTAAAAACAGCACATTAATCAGCACAACATGCTTTAAAGTTTCCTTTGAAATTAAACTAACATCTTTTTTTTTCCGCCTAACAAATGACTGCAACACAATTTCAGGGTCTCAACTGTAACTGTTCACTTGGACATTTGGGAAGAATAACTGACTGGAAAACAACACCAGATGTTGATGAAAAGCTTTGTGTGAACAGAATTACATGTGATGTAAGAAAATATAGTACAACGCTGACAAAAGCAGCACGTCCGGAGATTTGCGAGTTTGTTTTTAATCGTTCAAAGCGGCTACAAATACAAACTGTCTCTGTTGTGTCTGACTGTGTAAATAATTCAAGAAGGAGAATCAGCTGCACATGGAACAAGTTCACACGCACACGGCCGTCTCCTGAGACTGCAGAGGCTCACAAACAAGTTCTGAATGAGCCAGAAAATTAATTAGAGGAAGTGGAGCAAAACAAGAGACGCATCAACTGGCTTCCTGTCAGAGGCCTACAGGGAGGGGAGGCTCAATAAGAGGAGGAGGTGGTGGTGAACGAGAGGAACGAGTGATGGGAGGGTAGAAGAGAGCGACAGATCAAATAGTAAAATTCAGAGACATTTTCGTTATAGAAGATGCTACTGAATGCACCAACGGTCTTAAATTTGAACAATTATTTTACACGATGTGATAATCTCAAGCGTTTGTTGAAATAGTCATCACTCAATCATGAAATGCTTTGATACCTCAGCAAAGCTTTAAAGTGATTTATATTACACAGCACTAAACAGTGCAAGTGCTTTACAAATACAAAATAACCTATGTAATATTAAGAGATGTTTACAAAGGATTTATTAAAGATTTGGTAAATATTAAAAACTAAAATGTAGTATATAAAATGTTGTAAAAAATATATAAAATAAGATGGGAAAAAATGATTTTTTTGATTATTGCGGTTCTATAAATATTATTTATGGTGCCGTTAGATTGTACACATTTAGTCTACGGTGCCGTTAGATTGTACACATTTAGTCTACAGTGCCGTTATATTGTACACATTTAGTCTACAGTGCCGTTATATTGTACACATTTAGTCTACGGTGCCGTTATATTGTACACATTTAGTCTACGGTGCCGTTAGATTGTACACATTTAGTCTATGGCGCTGTTAGACCACCATTGTAATACAGGTGTGTGATCCTTTTTGTGAAGCAAGCAGGAGAGCAAACTTTTTTGACGGCAAATATTTTTGAGGCTACAAGCCAACAAATATGGACTGAAGCAGAATATTCCGTTTGATAAAAACATGTTGGGAAGTTTTTGAAACGATCAGATCTACCTACAGTATGTATCAATGTTGACTTTTGGACTTTACAACTCTCTGGAGTTATATTGGATTTGGTTGGATCACACGATTAGGAAACAATCCAATGAAGCAACCACCGCAATCTTATTCTACAAATAGTAGAATAGTTAACTTGGCAGTTAAAAAGTATGGCTGCTGCAAACACCGATGAACCATTACTGTCTTGATAACAGCGATTCATTGTAAAAACAGTGCTACCAAGAAGCTGAGCTGCATTCTTCTGTAATCTACGGACTCATTTCGACAAGAAGACAGAACATTTACTGCGTTCCCCAGCACAGTTACAGTCGCACTATTTGAGCTTGTGTGTGTTTGTGTGCCCCATGAATCCAGTGTCCTTGTCGAGGCTCGGGGGCTTAGCAGCGCTGTCGAGAAACTGAGGCCATGCTGGACAGGAAGCCGCACCTTGTTAGTAACGAGGAGGGGGCGGGTTAAAGGGTCATGGTCAGGGGGTCAAAGGGTACCTTCTGTGCTCCAGAGAAGGCATGGTAGAAACTGGACACATAAGTCATTATGGCTTTCTCATCCGGACGAGCAGTGTTCACAATGTCTACAAGGGGGGAGACCATGGTTATGAAGACACACACACAGGCAAGACAGACGACACGCGATTATACACAGCACAGGACACACGTGAAGGGACATGCACTCACATAGTATACACGCACACACACTTAACAAGCTGCTGTAGCTGTTAACAGACAGGATGACCATAACTTCATTTTCTGGGGAAGTGGGATATTTTAGAACAAGAATTAAGTTCTGCAAAGAAATTATTTTACAATCCAAAGAATGAGAGGAGACAGAAGAGGAGGGGGAGGGATGGAGGCTCCATCGATCCTGATATAACTGCATTTGGAGATCATCAACACTGTGACTGTAATGGAAGTGAGACAATAATGAAACTCAGCAATTGTTTTCATTGTAAATTAATCTTTTTGATTATTTTCGATTGATCGATTAGTTGTTTCATCTATAAAATGTCCAATATGACATCCTTAAATGTCTTTGTTTGTCCTCGACTCGAAGATATTCAGTTTACTGTGACAGAGTAAATAAACCAAAAAAGAAGATTCCAGCTCTTCAAATGTGAAAAAAAAGAAATCACTCAAACTGATTAAGCGATTATAAATTGGTCGGTGTTACAGTTTCACTACATCAGAAAGCATTGGGACCTGCAAACTATGTTCACTCCTGTTGAAAAGTTATGAATCAGCTGTTATGTGGATGTTTTTCTTTTCTTCAATAATGAAAAGATTCAAACATCTATTTAGTGGACGTCCCCTCAGTGTTACATGACGGGAGAGAATACTGTTGAACTTGGATGTAGTCTTCAGTGATCCTCCATCTTTACTGAACTGGGCTCTAAATATTGAGTGGGTGAGTCTTTCTTTGGGCCCTCTGCAGTCTACTCAGTGGTTAGATTGAAGAGCTTTGAACTGGGATTAGTTCAGCTGATGTTCAACAGTGCTAACTCTAGACTAACCTTCTGGTTCTACTGTGAAGTTTGAAGAAGAGCTTTGATAAAGCAACACCTTGCCTGTTGATATTCCAGCTTGTTCTAAACACTTGACACTGAAACAGGAAGCTGTTCCTGTTTTAAATCTGCTCACATTTTTAATCACAGCTGAAAACGAGTACTTGACAAATGTAATACAAGGGTTGTAAAATGACAGACTACTGCCCACTCGCATCACAGTCACCTTGTTGTGTGCATGTAAACACAGCCACTCATTGAAAACAGTTTGCATACAGTAGGGTGGATTACAGTACACACACATATATATAGCAGGACCAAACTATAACAACAACACGGCATCAATCACAGGAAATGTCAGAACCTACCTTCTGCGTCCAACATCTTGGGGATGTCCAGGTGCTTCTCAGCCACCTCGAAGGCATTGTTCAGGTTGGTCACCGGGTCATCCTAGACAACCAATCACAGCGTCAGAAGACAACTTCACGTTTAAAACAAAATTATTATCAGCAAGTTTTTGATTAGTGGTCATTTGAAACTTTACTAGTTTGCATAACAATATGCAAAGGCTTTACAACATTTGAGTCTGGACTGGGTTTCGTGTTGATGTCCAGCGGTAGTGTAACTGTGTGCGTGTGTGTGCGCGTGTGTGCATGTGGCGGTCTACCTTTCGGAGGCTGTCGTAATCGATGAGATCCGGTCTGTGTCTGTGGATCAGAGCGTTGAAGGCGAGACCGTCCTTCCAGCTGTTGGAGAGAACAGATGAGCAGAGTGTGAGGCGGAGGGGTAACATCACAGAACCAGCTGTGGTTAGGGTTAGGCAAGAAAAGTTGCACTTGAACCAAAACTTCTCCAGGCCTGTAACCGTTTTATTTTTAATCCATGACTTTTCCAGGTTTTCATGACTGTATGAACCCTGGTCTTAACTTAGACCTGGTCTTTGCTTGGTTTTGAGTGAAGCACTGATACTATAAAAAGGTTTTTGTACTTTGTATGAGCCTTACACAGCTTCTTCTATTGTTTCTTAAATGTACAAACACATGCACACCACATTTCCCTGTCACAATAATGTAAGTGTCTTCTGACTCCTTCAGAGATGTGAAACATGATCCTGTTTCTCCAACAGGGGGCGACCTTTCTACACATTATAGGAGTCCGTCATACACTAATGCCAATACTGATCCTTTATTTACTGCCACCACCAGAGCTACTATTAATAACAACTATAACAATAATATTAAAGTCATGTGGAGGGCCGTCCTGTCCACTGGCAGCGAAGCACAATGGGGCCCCGTCAGGGAGCAAAAGAATGGAAGATCAGGTTCAGTCCGGGTCATAGTTCAAATCAATCTGGAACATTATTCATTCATGTATTTCTTAAAAGTTTTTTTTGTATTTAATTAATTCATTCTTTGTCATTTTTACAGATTGCTCCAGCTTTGGATCGCCCCCAGACCCTTGTAGGAGGCCTTCATCACTTTAAATAAACTGCTCTGAATTATAATGGAAGTGCTCTCTGATTAATATATTTATATGTGATAATAATGAATTGCTAAAAATACAATTGATTTAATCCATTATTAATATTACTATTATTATTATTATCAGTAGTAGTATATTAATAATATAATCAATTAATTTATTGAAAAATAAAGTGTACGTGCGTGTGTGTGTATTACCTGATGTGGAAGTTCTGCACGTTGACATTCTTGTAGGGAGCGGTCTTCCTCTGGCACCACAACAGAAGACCCTCCTTTGCAGAAGTTTCTGCAATGAGGAGGAAGGAGTTAGAGGAGGAGCAGCAGGAGAAAATGTCTCATCACATTTAATCACCGTCTTATTATATTTCTATGAACGGTGCTCCGTCAGAGAGGAAAATACGGCGGTGCCCGTTTATGATGTGAGCTAAATAGAAACTGCTTCCGTCCTCAGCGGACTGGAGGAGTGAGGGATGTTGTTGTTTACTGTCTGTGCCCGTACAAACATTAAGAACCGTATCAGCTGCTAATCCGGAGAGTAACAAATATGACTCAATATTGCTTCTGGTGGCCGACACCCACCAGAGTTAATTCAACACAGACGGCTTCTAATTAGCCAGCAGAGAGTCACCGCAACTCAATCAGTCTAAATTCAGTGTCCTGGGTTTCAGCATTGACGCCGAGAGCTTATCCTCTGACATTTTCCAGACTAAACGGTTCATGGATACGACCAATAGTGGGGAGACTTGGTTTGAAAAAGTTTAAAATATGTAGCAGTTTTTCATTGTATAACCAAGTATTCCTTAAATTTAAAATGAGGATTAAACCCTTTAAATTGCACCAAATTAACAGGTATTTAAACAGAAAGTAGACGCATGCGCAACAGTGATGATGATCAATGAAACGATCAACAAGGTAACATCAACGAGAGGTCCCTCCCACATCAATTGAACTACATCTGCACTAAATGCACCAAAATTGGAATAAAGCAACACTGTCGGACAAAACATGTTTTTTTGTATAAACTAAAGAAAGAAGAACAAATACATTTGGTGAGCAAGCAAAGCCAGTCCTCAAGTCATGAAAAAAAAGTTAGGCAAATTATCCCAGTCTGATAGCGCTTTTAGCTTAAAAGTACGTGTGTGTGTGCGTGCGTGCGTGCATCTTTAGCTTTGTTACTTTCACTCTTGTTCCCACAGCCCAGGGTTGCCAACTCTTTTCCAATAAACGCAGCTAGCAGCAGCAGCTCCAAAAGTTGCTGAATCTAGCGAAGAAGTCGACAAGTCGGCAAGACCAACAGCCCGTCCCCTTCAGGCCTCCCTCAAAAGCCACGCCCCCAAAATGAGCATAACGTAAACAACAAACATGGCTGTTTGCACTCACAGCTGTTCATCTAGCAGCTTGAGGGACACTCCGATGGATTTTTTTCCTTTTTTTTGGTCAGAGCATTTGATTCATTGATTGCTATCTGGATGTCAGGTAAAGATTACCAACCCTGCCTTTATAATCCTGAAAAGCTCTGCCAAGCTGCTGCTGAATGTGTTTATGCAAACTGAAAGCCTCAGGAAGTTGTACCTTCTACGGAGATGTCCTGGATGGCGAAGCGGAGGATGATGGTCCAGATCATTCCCAGGGTCATCTTGGCGTTTCCGTCCACGATTTCTGCACAAAAAATAATAAAATGAAAATAGTCAATCAATCAGCACATTTCTTTTGTTGCGTCTACATTCACCGTCTGTCACTGCTGTTTGTACAACCTTGCTATTACATCTAATAATGCCAACACACCCACACACAGCTGCACTTAATGTCCCACAGCTTCCAGTTTCTCTTCCAAGTGAGATGCTTTCATCATGCCTTTCATAAAACAAAATGAATTTGTCGTAGATATAAAATGCAGTCAACTGTTTAATCCACTCGATTGGTCGATGGGGGAATATAAAATTCTGCACGGTCTGTCCAAATGAACTACATCAGCCACTGTGCACTCTGTTAGCCTATATTAATCATGGCATATTAGCATGTTAAATGAATGTAATCATCTTATGCTTAAATGATAGACTTGAAGCCGTCCTGCCCAACAACTAACCCTTCATTCAGGACATTAACTCTCTCTGTGTCTCTCTATCATACAAAAACACTTGCATACACATATCCCCCCAAAAACAATATTGGATTAAGAACTTGTTTCCAACACCAGCGACTGTCCGACTGCGGATTTGTACAAACTAAGAGCATATTGACCAACCGAGCCTGTGGTGAAATCAATATTTAGCTTACTCGTTAGAACATCAACTCATACAACTAACAAATTCCTTTAAGCCGGAAAAAATATTTACAGGCTGGTACTTTCAAATATCACAATCTCAGTTTTCCCACCAGCATCAGCAGATAGCTGGCAGGTTAATGAACACACACACAACAGGGTGGTGTGTTGTGTTCCACTCACAGCTCAAACACAGACCTGAGACAGTTGGTCCGTCAGTGCCGTCATACACTCGTCCTCTCGTTAGTCCATCACACACTCACTTCACTGTCATTCTAACCTTCTTCTGTGTTTGAGTCTCAGATTGTGGCCTAAATGATAATCCCAATTATTTTAATCAATATTGAGATCACGATTATTTATCACCACTATAAATTGATTTTAGGTACAAACTGTTTTATGCACAGTGCACTGCTAATGTACACGTCTTTGAGTCAATATCAGACTGAAAGTAAGGTTCTTCCTTTTGAATTCAGTGCCTTTTCATTTTGTTCTCCTGCTCTCTGTTGTATTACACGATGTGCAGCAGCAGCAGGACGGCTCCCCTAAAAAGTGGTGCAAAACATCTGGATGGCCCCTGGTAGCCGGTTAGTTTAGGAAACGCTTGATTTGATATGCAGTGAGTTTTCTATGAGCGGAGTATTTAAAAAAAAAAATGACCGTGTCTGTTTAATTGTGGGAAGCCAAAACGGTGATGGCAATTAATATTCATTTTATTGTGCATCCCTAATTTCTACTTGTGCTGAAGGAGCTAAATGTCCCATTTAAAATAAATCAGTCAGATTTATTAATACAAATCTTTTCTTTTTGTTCTGAGATTTACCACTGTGTCTCCCCAACTTTGTCCTTTAATGTATTACAGGAAGGTTCAATGGAATACTTCGCTGACAAAATGAGTATTAATTTAATAAATCACCCCATGTTACCTTGAAAATCTTGAAGAATCAGTGAAGATGCATGTGATTTGGAAGTAGTGAGAATACAACCGGATAAATGAGACTTGGATTATACAGCATGAGTTGTGAGAGTTCGTAAACAGATGTTTTGATATAGTTTTGCTGCATTTACTTAAATTAATGAAGAATTAATTTTTTTAGTTTTGGGATTCTCCGTTCACCGTGAAGGCAGTTTTCTTCTAGAAGTTTTCTTCTAGAATACAGGGTGAGCAGCTGATAAAACACATTTTTTGGGGATGAAGTATTCCTTTAAGATTGAAGTCCCTGAAGATCAAATGGGAACCAGAATGTGTCCTTCTAAAATGTTTCTGTAGGATTTCCTCCTCTCTCATCGCGTCGCCACCATCCCTCAATTCTTTCCTCTTCCATCTTCTATGTCAGCATTTGTCTCACTGTTAGTTTCCACTAGATGACCTTTAGTGGGTTGCTTTCAGAGAAGGCCAGAAAGAGTGTGTGTGTGAGAGTGAGTTCACAATGTGCAGAGTGTGTTTGGTAGTGCAGTATTTTGGGCAACTTTGAGTTCAATGGCGTTCAGTATCAGCAGTGTCATGTGGCAAGAATGTCACGTTTTCCTGATAAAGTAGGAATAAAGGTCACACGCACACATGCGCACACACACACACACCATTGCCCTGGACCTGTGTCCTCAATCGGCAGGATGGAGCAGGTTCTGTGTTCTTAAAGAGACGGAGCAGGTTCTGTGTTCTTAAAGAGACGGAGCAGGTTCTGTGTTCTTAAAGAGACGGAGCAGGTTCTGTGTTCTTAAAGAGACGGAGCAGGTTCTGTGTTGTTAAAGAGACAGCTGTTACGCCATCCTGAATGAAATTCATTTTCTAATTTTAATGTGTGAGATATTACTTTAGCATCAGTATGCTGTGCAGCTGTCTTATAGGGGACAAAATAAAGAAATATTTGATTTGGCTGCCAGATATTCAATATTAAAAGACTGATCAGAAGCAAAATAAAAAAAGCTTCTTCAGCACAGCCCTATTTTTAACTAAACCCTGTTCAGATTTACTGTCGCTGTGGATTCTACTCTCGCCTCCAAGTATGAAAACGAAGCGAAAGCTTTTTTCTCATGAGGTCAGAAGTTTTAAGCAGGACAGAGGTGGATGAATGACATGTCGTTTTACCAGTGAGGTCTGAGGACTCAAAGAATGTTTCTATTTGGGGACGGGGCTCCTCTTTTTATACGCTTACCCTCTGCTCCAATAGAGACCAGCTTGACTCCTTTGCCTGCGATGAAGTCCAGGGCTTTGTTAACGTTGTTGATCTTGTGCACCCTCATCTTGCCTCGCTCAGGTTTGGGTAACCGTTCGCCTGTGGAGAAACACACACACACACACACACACACACACACACACACACACACACACA